TCCAAAGTTAATCGGTACAACGTGTAAAGGTGATGGCGCGCAGTAAAATTAAAATACAACCTTTGGACTTAGCCCTGTAAAGCTTAGATTCCCTAATTTGGAGACGCTTTTACGTATTTGGAAACTTCAGAAGATAATTGGGCTTGTTTGCACACGTTAGGCTTTCTACTCATATGAATTTCCTCCAATTTATGCGCGCATTCTAATGCTTTACGCTACACTGGTTGGCGCGTGTTTTTTAAACTAAAAGGAGAGTTTTACTTCTTTTCTCCTTGACACTTTCCCTTCCGCTCAACTTTGTGCACTTGAGTTCTTTTGAGTTTGTCTATCCCATCTAAATTTAGATGGGGATTTTGAACTTGAGGAACATATTTCCCGCTTACTTTCCCTCTTAGGATCTGGCTGACTGTGAAGCAGCCGTTTACTGAGGAGCCACACCATTTAGAAATGTCAAACCTTTACTGACTTGACTCTGGAATTCCCTGCGTAACTACCGCTTTCAACGGGATAATGCAAAATATCTTGGATATGGGAACCCTTATTATCCTTTGAACGTGGTCCCACTCTCCAGGTCTCACAATTATGCTAGGATAACATAAATTCTTTTCAGTGATACGAAATGTGGCTGTTCATTTGTACTTCGTTTATAACCGAGTTCGCATCCGGGAGAGTGTAAGTGGCACGTCCTTACGATATGATGGCCGACATACAGTTTGCAAAGTAATATGCTCTGGTTATCACTTGACCGGCGTAATATAATATGTATGTGATAGTGAGCTAAACGTCTTCCAGCTAGTTCACTTGATCTTGCTACTTAAAACTGCTTTCTCTACATCGTACTCTACAGGCATTCTACGGGTTTTGTGAACAACACATTTAGTAATCACAGTGGTAAAATGGGTAGATGAAAGGCTGAAAATGGGCCACTGGTCATTTTCTATCAGAGAAGAAGCGCATCCACCAACAAAACCAAAAGTATACTCTCGGGGTATTACCCCTCTTTTTCCCCACTAATAGGCACCCAAATATTATAGCAGCAGTTGGCTGATCGGACGCAAGCCAAAATGTGTAAAATAATAGTACCTGACCAAAACGGTGTTTTCTGAAGGGGGACCTCTGTTGAGAGAGATCAACCAAACTTCCCATTAAAGGCCCTCAAATCAAATATTAAATTTTTCATAAGGCGCGCTACTTTTACTCTCTTTTCGCATTTCCTTCCTCTTAGTTGATTTCACTTGGATCCTAATTGTTCCATAATGGCGATAATCATCGGGAATAAAGTGATCAGTTTTTTTGTCGAATCTGATAATGCTTATTGGCCAGCTGGTCTAATCTCCTTTATTCGAAAGCATTGCAGCTACTGTATGATTAAATCTGATCTCTTATTCACACATGGGGATGAGGTACAGGTTAATGAAATCAGAATCAGGAAATAAGAGTGCATGATCGTTGTTTTGGCAGTTTTCACCCATGAGCTCTCCGAGTGTTCAGAATGCATCTACCTGGAACACAGGGCTCACTCGAAAACCGGTTTAAAGATGGATGTCATGATTACCAGCAGAGTACGATCAAACGTTATCCGTTTGCACTAAACCTTCTGGAGTATTACGAGACTCGGAGTATCTCCCCACGATTTAGTGAAGGGAAAGTAATTAAGCCGTATTTGTCAGAACATCCGGGTCCTAACCTGAGGGTTTGAGGAACCGATAAATATGGCCCCGAGGGCCAGCTGGTCTTCATCCGAGCGGAAGAAACTAAAACCACTCTGTTATCGTTACCCTTTCATTTTCCTCCTGGTCTCAACTTTTACACAAACAGTAGTAAAGACAGTGTTCAGATTATAAGATTATTGGGAAGAGTTACACCCTCGCCTTATCGGAATGCCTCGACAACAATTTAATGACAAATAATAATACGCTCAAAATTTGTATATTGTCCTGGTTGTCAGTTTGCTTTCCAAACATGTCAACAATTCCGTTTAATCAGTTTTACAACTTTTACCCCAAAGAATTTAAATGACACAAAGGTAAACGCAAAATGACGAGACACGCCCATGTTATTAAAGGGGCTGTAAGGGGCGTTGATAAGAACATGGTAGTATCCCAAGTACTGTGGGTAGCTGTGACCAGTTTGTATGCATTTTCTGCTGACGCAGGTCCTTAATCGAGCTTTCGTGCACGTGTCATTCCTAGCTTGTTTTTACAACACTGCGATGCAGCCGTTTCCAATCCCACATAATGCCTACTTGTGCATCCTCATTTACGGCAATTCATTCACGTACCAAGTCACGTGAATATTGACGACTGAACCTAAGTAATCTCGGCTAACCTGCTCCGTACTAATAGAGCTGAGACCATCTACCATTATAATTCTAGACGTTTCAGTAACCGAAGTATCGTTTGCTGTTTAGGGCCACTCGTGAACCGGGAATATGCTAAAGTGGTTTATTGGGTCAGAAATCCCGGTTACTAAAAATGCGAACTTTCAGGAATTTGATATCAATTTTGTGATGATTAGTAAACCATTGTCTGCCATAAGCGGATTCTATATTATTCTTTAACAAAAATGATTTGATTCGTTGGTATTTTGTTCGTTTTCTAGGTTCAAAGCTTTTACACTTAAATTCCTTCAATCCGAAAATTTCACATTCTAAATGATAATGAACAAAGGATGAGAAAAAATGATGAAAAAAAGATGGAAACATGGATACAGAATAATCATTGTTGTCAGCACTGTATGCGTCACATGGTATAAGTTTATGCCCAGAAAACAACCTAGCCATTGAGTCTGGAAAGCCGCTATTCTGCGTTACTCTCGGAGTTATCCACAAAGTTTTAGCGTGACTAGTTTGTGGTGGCAGAGGCTTACTCTGGTCTGTTCCAAAACAAGGGCAGCCATCTTGATTTATTATCCTCAACGCGTTAGATCAGGAGTGTGAAGTAACAGCAGATCCGGCCCTAGGTATTGTTGCAAACTGTGGAAAAGCCGAAATAGTTTATCAAAATCCAGGTACTACACCTAACTCTACGCAGTGAATGAACCTTACCAAACTACTCGGAGTGAAATGTTTCTTCTTCCTAGCTGAGATGACATCTTCAGTGCGGATCGAAGACCGACGACGTCAACTCGATCGGTGATGAAACATTTGCAAACCAACAACCAAAGAACGCATCTAAGCGGAATGTTCCCACCAAATGGCCATTTATTCTTTCTTTAAGATAGGTGGACTTGCCGAATAACCTAGCTGTGAAGGTCAGTCCTAATTTTTGGCATACTGCCTCCAAATTCAAAAAGCATTGATTAGCAACCGAAGAAGTTGATAGGATGACAAACTTCATCGAAAACGACTTCAGTGTCCACGTTTGATGGGGAAAGATACATGTCTAATATGGAGAAGTACTGAGCAAACTTCTCTGCATATGTTATATTCCACATCAGTAATGATGTTTCAGAAAGTATTTCGATACAACATTCTGCTGAAACCATCTTATTTGGAAAATTTCAACGTATCCAATGAGCACACATACCAACAGCCCCAAAATGTTTCTGGGGAGATTTTCTGATTTCTGAAAAATTACGTGATGCAGTTCACTTGAGTGACTCATTTTTGTCAAATTCTTGCCTTATTCCACGGAACCTTTAGAAGTTGTTCCTTCAAGAGTGAAATACAAACAAAGGCCAAAAATCAGAGTTTTCAGTAGATCGAAAATATAGAGTCCAATGATGAAACTGGGTTGAAATTTGACGCATTCTCATAAGGGGATTTTATATAAACCATCACTAAGTGAAGAACAGTAAAACTTTTACGAATTGGTTATTTTTCCGTTCAAATAATGCAGGAGTAAACGTGGGAGTGACTTCTGTGCCCGGATGAATACGACATCTGAACAACTGTAACACAACCACGGTCACAGCCCAGTCAGTTGCAGTCAAGCGACATTCTCAATTTGGTCGGAATTTGTCTAGCGAGGCACTTAGACAGTTTTTTTTTAGAAAAATGTGCACAGGCCACTGAATTACTTGTGTGCACACAATGGTGGGTAGTAAATTGGTAGAATGAATAAGGCCTGTACTTGGTAGTGAATATCAGCTTTACTGATGCGCTGCTATCCATCTTAATTTTAATCGATCCTTGTACCACAGGTTGTTTTTGGGCTTTCTAGTCATTCCGCCTAACTGCACATTCTCGCGTAAGTTCATATCACAGTCGGCTACCCACAAGGTGATTCACTTTGCAGCTCTCTGTGGAGCTTTAAAGCCATATTCGTAGCAAGTCTCAGTAAAGATATAAACCAAGCTTATTCATCTAAATATCTTAACTTGTTCGGCCGCTCAACTCATTTGGTGTACCCGGAAGGTACTTATAGATTTTTCAACTTCAAACATCAACCTACAGCCATAGACTCATCTGAGACCTCAACAGACGTGGATTCATCAGACACGGTTTTCTAGTAAAGTTAATGACAAACAGCGCATTCGAATTTGTGCGGTTGCAAGAAACTTCAGGATTACAGTTTCCAAGATCAATGATCCAAATTTTTACGGTAAAAATTTGGTGTATTGTCATAATATTATCTGTAAAGTTTAACGATAGGAGTGAAAACTATCCCCAAATTTGGATACTGGTAGTCACCGGCCGGGATTCACAAATACATGTTATCCATTTTGATGGTATCACTACAAAGCTTCGGCAATCTAGGAAATAAATTACGCGGCCAAATGCAAGTTTGCAGTTCATATTAATGGCGGACCAAGCTTCGTTTGCAGCCAATGCAAGCACTTTTTCTGCCTACTTCTGTGGACCACATCTTCAACGAGGGTTGACACGAAAACCTCCGCATCGAATAATCTGAATGCTGTGCAGTTACATAGGTGATTACTGCAGGAACCGCAAACCTGATGCAGCAGTTTAATTAACCATAAAAATCAAGCGGTTGCCTCCATGGAGCTTACTGCTTGAAGCATTTTTTCGTTTCAAGGTATCTCGCGGGGCAGCACATTTAGGGGAGTCCAATATCGTACGTACTTGACCTACGTACACCATTTGGTTGTTGGTCTGTTCGCCGAGCTTGGCAGTTGGACTGCAAACGTTTCATCACCAATCGAGGTGACATCGTCAACCCTGCACCGACGATGTCACCTCCATTGGTGATGAAACGTTTGCAATCCAACTGCCAAGCTCGGCGAACAGACCAACAACCAAATGGTGTACGTAGGTCAAGTACGTACGATATTGGACTCCCCTAAATGTGCTGCCCCGCGAGATACCTTGAAACGAAAAAATGCTTCAAGCAGTCGAGCTACCTACATTCTACAACATTGCTATTACGTACACTATGTGGACAGATGCATAAAAGCTGCTTCACTTCAATTTGCATTTTATATTCGAGTTACGAAGCTATATGAAAAACAAACCGAAATGCAAGTTCAATGTCTGAGTCTACCTGAGTTACAGGGAAGCCTGGAAGCCTATAATCGACTATATTGAGAACATCACGTAAAAATTACTGTGAGATGATTTCATTCCGTGTAGCAAATGGTGTTGAAAATCCATTTTCAAGCACATATTATAGGAAATTGAAGGAGTCCTTCGAAGATATGCACATGAGTTAGATGGAATCCATGTTTAAGTAGGCACTTCAAGAAAGCCATTTATCTGTCCCTTACGCAAAACCATACTTGACGGCCAAGGGTTCCAGTGATAGGGAGTTGAATTTTTTTCTCTGAATTTCAAAACACCTACTTTCTGACCGCAGCTGATGAGTGATAAAATCCAGCAATTAAGATCCGTCCACGAAATCCTTTGCTCCCACTTACTCTTACGCTCGCATACACCTCTCCACCTCTACAGGTACTATCTTCGGGAGAGATGCGCCTTGAAACTCATCACTTTTGACCAAACACTTGGACTCTATGATAAATTTTGTGTCATTCCTTGGTTTAAGGGACTGAATACTTCCATAGTTGCGTTTTTCGAATCCTTCCTAAAAGACCTGAAATGATATTTCCATTCCGCTAGATCGAAGTTCGGGAAACCTTTTTCCTAAGGGATGTTCAATACAATTCCGGATTCTAGTTACAAGGAATACTCAAAACTGGGTACAGTTGTATATCTCTGAAGGCATCCTGAGCAGGCTTCTGCAGATTTATTAGACTTCATATCACATTATTCCTAACTGGGCATTTTCTGTTGTTTTTCTCAGCTAAACATTTCGAGTTGGACCAGCTCGACTCCTTTCAGTTACATTATCATGCCAATCGCCTTCATGCAGATTTTCGGTGGTCTCTCCTGCATTGCATTGGGAATTCTATTTCTCATTATCGCAGAAACGACGCGAAACCATTTTGCTGGATTCTGGACCGGAAGCTTAATGGTATTCACAGCAATCTTACGGATTATTTACAGTCGACTGCGAAGCAGGCTGCTTGGGGTGTTTCTGCTCTGCTTTGACGGGGCTGTAATTTTCCACATTATCGCAACAACCCTGTTAGAAGTTTTTTCATATTCTCTGTTCGAAAAGACGCGTCGTATGAAAACGGTTCTGAGCCTGTACAAATTATGTTTTGCCCTATGCACGGTGTGTTTTGTGGAGGTGATCGTTGCACTGTGGGGAATATTTCACATGCTACTATTGCTCACCGAACTACTTTGAAGCAAAGTTGATCAGATCTGTATTCTCTCGTTGTTGTTATTTCATTGCACATCTGGTGTGTGTCCGGGCTTTCCACTACAATTCACTGAGTCATGATCAAAGCAATGCACAATATATTGCTGTCACTGTGAAACACGATCAAAACTGCAGATATACTACTAGTTTACCATTGATGAACACTCCTAAGGCTGGGTGCGAAATATTTATTATCACAAGTACGAGTATCGTAGTGTGGGATGTTTCAAGCACCTTTTCAGCCAGCTGAAGAATCTGTGTACAGTAATGCCCACCGTTTTTCCGCTCTGCCTTGCACAATTTTCTGATTGGGCAACTTGCTTACATACACCTATTACATCATGGTTTATGGCCATGCAAATCCACCCACCCGCGTTTGCTAAAACCTGTGGATTTCTCGCTTAGACACCAAAGTTTGGTCATTTAGCCGAATAAAAAATGCTATCCGCGTGCTCATGACCACCTGATGTTAGGAGTGTTGGCTTTGGATCAGAACATCAGACAATGAATTTCTGTGACATACTTGTGACAAGTCTCAATCAGGGCTAGACAGCTAGTGAACCACTGCTCTGTGTCCAACCACTTCACTTGCGTATCCTTCAACGCCCATATTTGACAACTATCCTGTCCCCGAGAATAGAGGAAAAGAAATTGAAACAAATAACTGGAATTTAGACAAGGAACAAATTTCGACGCTAGTTTCAGCTGATATAAAGATACTGTAACTATTTTTCTGCATACATATACATGTATAATACATAGAATTTAGTCTGATTAGGAAGGAGAATTCGCTTGCACAGACATTTTGTGAAAGCCACAGGGCAGATATACACATACATATACACACAATATGTATCATAACACGCGTGAAATAATATAGATCTCGAAGTGAATTAGTATGAACGTAATCTTGGCCAAAAGGCCCTGTTGCGGTAATTATAGACGGTTCGCTGGATCAGCAGAGATAGCTTGCCCAAATACTTGGTACAGGAAAGGGGACAGGAGCGCAAAATAAGCTGTTGATCAACCGTTTGTTCACTGAAATCAAGGACGGATAGATGAAGAGAAAAAGTTTCATCTTAAATGCTGCACTACTGGTCTAGTGTTGGGCGGGATTGTGAATCGTAGTGCGGAAGAATCAAGTCATAAGTAAACTCCTGACATACACCAGGTGGGGATGCCTGAGTCGCAGGAATTTGGCGTCCGGAATCCAGTATGTTCAGCAAATGACTCACCAAGGACGAGAAATGAAAATTACAAAACGATCATGGACCCCTTTTTTGGATATAAATCTGGAACGGAATGACAAGACAGGGGTTTGAAAGTTGTTGCAGTTGGAGAATCCGAGCCGAGAGTGGGGTCGCTGTCGATATTCAAGGCCAGTGAGTGCATATCTTGCCACAACAAACAGATGCTGAAGTGGTAAGAGGAAAAAGAACATTGGGATGGACCGAAGGTGAAAAAATTACTCAATTGTTTAAGAAAAGGGGAATAATGTGGGGGATGACACAGGTATTTTGATGACTACATCATCGACAACGTTCAAAAACAGAGCGTTGCTGCATTGTTTGCTTCCAAGATAGGTGGCCAGAATTTTGTCCATATGTGGAGGACGTTCCACAAACTGGACCTTGTCAGGTGCCTTCGATATATCTATGAAAATCATATTTGTCTCGCCATTGGTCCATAAAGTACAACCAAAGGCAAGTCAGTATATTACTCACCGGATGGTTGTACTTAGCCCATTACTAAGGTCATGAGGGTTGCGGTAATCAGTGATAATTTTTCCATGTTCATATAAAAACTGGCCAAATATGACCAAATAAAGTTGTGCCACTTCTAGTATTCTGTCGACGTTCTCGTTTGATTCCTTCTTGGGTACGCGGACGACCGATACAAAATAATACATTTATATTTGCGGTAGATCTCATGAGAACTCGAAGGCTTGAAGTCTTGGATATTGATCCACGTGCTAGATATTGGGGATAACCTTGAACGCTTCGAAATACAGCGCGTAAATTCTCGCAAGTTGTGACGAACTATATTTGCGTATGTGTGAAGCGGAAATTCAAATGTGACAAGTGCGGTGTGAGGAGCCACATCACGACGACTTGTGTTCGCGCTAAAACGTGTACCTTCACAATAAACCAATAATCAGGCTGAAACAAGTGACCATAAATACCTTCGAACTAAACTCATTTGGGTCATCAAATCTACGTTGTTCTTGTGAACATACCTGACTGAACTTATCATGCATTTTATGCACCGTCATTCGCTTAAGGTAATACACGCTACACTGGTCCAAATGCAGCGGTCCCACTTATACTTTTCATTTCAAAGGTGACGACTTTTCTGTCCACTACCGTACTCGGATCCCGTGGGGTTAAAAATGAAGTTGATGCTTCGAGACAAACCACTGCCTAACATCCAACACACACCATTTTAACTGACCCCATGGAACAAGTCTTCCCCTAAACATAGACAAATGTGCGAAATTCGGCACTTAGCTTCCACGTATTCTGACGACATATAGTTACTTGTTCAATGTTACCACGTGCCTAAATGTCTTCTACGCTGATTTTAAGTAGTATAATACTTAAAATAATGCGTAAAAATAACGCTTCATACCTAAATAGAATCGATCCCCTAAAACTTTCCTCAAGAATTGCGTCCCTCCTGTAAGAAAAGTATAAAAAGAGGTAATTTTTATTCAGTATATCCACGTATCGTAAAATGACTAACACCAAGTGACTTTGATACAAGGTAAACCCTAATATGACTTCACAATTGTCGGTTGATGTGGAGTGTTCCGCCAAAATACACTTCATCTGACAGGCAAAATTCATCTGTTCTGAAGGTCGTACCTTTCTTAAGTGTGATCTTCTCATTTTCAGACCAACAAAGTTACAGGGCCTTGACACAGAAACTGTAAGTCGAATATCTCTTTATCTAGCCGTACAATGTATCACATAGAAGAAAAACCTGTGTAGGCTCAACTTACACGCGGACAGGATTGTCTCCTTCTGGAGAGGCTGTCACCCATGTGGGAGAGAGAAATTCTATTCGGTTTGTCAACATTCACAAAAAATGACGCCTCCCAGACTACTTTACCAAACGATGTAAATAATTCCTCGCCCCAGATGCGGTGAGATCCCTTAGCAACAGTCTATTTATCCCTCCTATCCCGTGCCGTGCTGTGCTATGGGATCCACACCTGAGTCATCTTGACACAGAGATCATGATGCTCTCGACAGAGCTCACTTTCTGAAAGCCTAGGTTTGATTCTGAAGTATGCCGAAAGACAAACAGCTACCTCCATTGTTCATCTAGATCTCGAAAAGGCCGTCATATTACTTTATACGACTAGACGTAGCGTTTTATTGGCAAAGGTATGATGAAGACTCTTGATTTGTTCTCACTGATAATGACGATATCTTATTTTAACTGACTTGAGGTTATATGCACGAAGCATCCAATCATCTTTCTTACCAGGTGCACCCAGAGGAGAACATTGAGCAGCGACCAGTCGTGTAAATGTCAGCGAGTTACTTTTCACTTGCAGACGATTGGATGTTCATCTCAATGGCATTGGGTGCAAACTGCTCTGTAGGGCCACTGAACAGTCATATCTCAATGAACAAGCTTAAAACTTTGAAAAAAATACCGGAACACATTAGCGAAATACACTAATTTGCAAATAAGTTTGGTTTTGCGAGAGACTCAGTTGAATATCTCGTTTGTGATGTTTCCAGGCTGAAATATGAGGCGGTCTGGTGCACCACATTCAGCCGCCTAGAAACATCCCAAACGAGAGATTCAGCTGGGCTCCAAACCAAAATTGATCAAAACCAAATTTGTTTGCAAATGAGTGTATCTCGCTAATTTCGTGCGATTTGGTTTCAAGTAGGACATAACTTTGACGGAAACTCGGGGACTGCGCCTACCTAATGAGCCCGAAGCAGGGCGAAACCAGTCGTAGGCTGTCGAAGAAGTTTCAGCTACCTTACGGGCAGTGCATTACGAATTTAGCGAAAGACACTATTTTCTTCTATTAGGTCTTCCCGTTTGATGAGTTGACAAGTGATGGTGATAATTTGTCTCTGATATATATTTCCCCTCCGAGCATCAGGTGAAATCCCTGAGAAACTATCCGATGAACGTTGTTAACGTATTCGATTGCAGTGTCGAGACCTGCTGGAGTGATTTTTTACCCAAGTGATGGTCTAGGATCGTCGAATGGCCTTGGGACCAATACCTGATGCACCTGGTGGAATTAAGTGATTCGTCACTTCACGCCGTACACAACAGGCACAGTTTCTGATGATGTTTTATTACAAATTGTTGACAAGCAAGCACAAACATTAATTAATCAGAGAGGTTTGATACGTGATTCAAAATTAACTACAGAATATACAGATTTGATTGGCGTTTTATTGGCAAAGGTATGATGAAGACTCTTGATTTGTTCTCACTGATAATGACGATATCTTATTTTAACTGACTTGAGGTTATATGCACGAAGCATCCAATCATCTTTCTTACCAGGTGCACCCAGAGGAGAACATTGAGCAGCGACCAGTCGTGTAAATGTCAGCGAGTTACTTTTCACTTGCAGACGATTGGATGTTCATCTCAATGGCATTGGGTGCAAACTGCTCTGTAGGGCCACTGAACAGTCATATCTCAATGAACAAGCTTAAAACTTTGAAAAAAATACCGGAACACATTAGCGAAATACACTAATTTGCAAATAAGTTTGGTTTTGCGAGAGACTCAGTTGAATATCTCGTTTGTGATGTTTCCAGGCTGAAACATGAGGCGGTCTGGTGCACCACATTCAGCCGCCTAGAAACATCCCAAACGAGAGATTCAGCTGGGCTCCAAACCAAAATTGATCAAAACCAAATTTGTTTGCAAATGAGTGTATCTCGCTAATTTCGTGCGATTTGGTTTCAAGTAGGACATAACTTTGACGGAAACTCGGGGACTGCGCCTACCTAATGAGCCCGAAGCAGGGCGAAACCAGTCGTAGGGCTGTGAAGAAGTTTCAGCTACCTTACGGGCAGTGCATTACGAATTTAGCGAAAGACACTATTTTCTTCTATTAGGTCTTCCCGTTTGATGAGTTGACAAGTGATGGTGATAATTTGTCTCTGATATATATTTCCCCTCCGAGCATCAGGTGAAATCCCTGAGAAACTATCCGATGAACGTTGTTAACGTATTCGATTGCAGTGTCGAGACCTGCTGGAGTGATTTTTTACCCAAGTGATGGTCTAGGATCGTCGAATGGCCTTGGGACCAATACCTGATGCACCTGGTGGAATTAAGTGATTCGTCACTTCACGCCGTACACAACAGGCACAGTTTCTGATGATGTTTTATTACAAATTGTTGACAAGCAAGCACAAACATTAATTAATCAGAGAGGTTTGATACGTGATTCAAAATTAACTACAGATTTGATTGGCTGATGACCAGGTGCCCGTTAATCTCTTCGCCGTGCTTGACAGTTGACTTGCAAACGTTTCGCACCATCAGGGGAGATATCATCAATGCGCAATTGCGTGGGTTAGGGTTTGTAAATCAATCGCCAAGCTTGGAGAACAGATCAACAGCTACCTGATCAACAACCGATAGGCTTACCCGAGCTACCAATATTTCAATATATAACCAATTCAGATTTGATTTAGCATGTGACAAGTACAGTGAGTACAATTAACTAAACTTTAAAAAATGTTATCTGTGAGTTTTTATATTAACAGTATGCTATTTTCTCACGATGTAAAAGTGCTTTCCGCATGCGTCTCTAGATTCGAAGTTCTAACTTAATTTTTCCAATACTTATACAATTCATGCCTACATTTACTGAGGTTTTGTCTCCAAAATTGCGGAAGATTTGTATAGTCTAAACCATTTCGATGGTATGAACAGGTCGCGGGTTGTTGAAATCATGGAGAGATTCATGATTGGGGTTCAGAGCGACAGGTGGAACATCCTGGCGTGAAAACGCCCGATAATCGATGAGGGTGGGAGATTCTGAAGACGACTGAGGTCAGAATAGGACCCGGTTACAAAACGGAAGTCGAATGAAACAGGTTGTTCCGACATGCTGAGTTCTGATAGGGAACTGCAAGTAGTCGGATTGATCAAAATTGGCAAAAGCAAAAAAACACAGGGGCTGAGTATACGGTTACTTGCCCCCAGGAAGGAAGAGAGAAATGAAGCTTAGAAGATCAAATTCCATTAATTCCATATGACTCAAATATGGAGAAGAATGTTGAACAGCAATATTTGTAGCTGTCTGCTTCGAAATGACTTTAAAAGCATCGACTTCCAGTTGGCGCTACTGAAAGTTAAGCTGCCTAGCGCGCACAGAGTCTCAGCCGAAGAGGTGTAGGTGTTTTGTGCAACAGGATATTCAATACCTCTTGAAGTACATGAATCTATACGATAATTTCTATATGGAAACGTCCATATGGAAACTAAATACAAGCCACCTATGCTCGTGGACACTGAGGCCACTGAGAATTTGGATTCCCTTGGTACAATCAGACTCGGGCACCGTTTAAAATTTATTTCGCAGACGCGTCATTGCCCTTACTAGATTGACAAACGCAGTAAAATATGTTTTTTTGGGGAGGGGGAGAAGAGGAGAGGGAAGGGGCAAGCTGAATTAAGGCCACAAGTGGTAGATATCAGGAGCGGGAGATGCCGGCATAGGCTGTGAAATAAATGAAGAGAAAGGTGAGCATGTGCAAACTCTGCCATTAAAAATTTTGGACAATATGGGTATACAAATTGTACGTTAGTGAATCCGGATGCTCTGAATAATGCATGAAGGCATTTAAAGCATCACACACATAATCAGCTTTTGAAATAATATAAAACAGAGCTATTTAGCTTGGTTGTTCGTATTTTCGTTTGCTTAGTGGGTCCTACTAAGAAGTTAACCATTCTGAAACATAAAGGTCTCATGGGATTGGTGGTGGTTATCCTACGAGCGACGGCGTAGGCACTCTGTTACGTGAATTTTTCTCCAGAGCTTCTTTCAGAAGAAGAAGCCAATATCTGGAGCAGTGCGCAACTAAATCACAAGCGACGTGCATTGATCCAAATGGAGTGCTTCGTGCAAGCAATTGATACCATCGTACACCCGAAAAAACAAGACTGAAAAGCAAACATGCAGAGGCCTGTTGGGACCCATCAGCTGACTTAAGTACGACATTGGCAACAGTGCGCACCAGCATCAATTATTTTACACCAAGGTAATAACACCGTCCGTTTAATCCTCCAAATGCCAGTGGGACATCACTTGAGGATTATAAGTGAAGTGCTTGTCCCACTCTAGTATTTGTTTTTTTGGGAGGGGGAGAAGAGGAGAGGGAAGGGGCAAGCTGAATTAAGGCCACAAGTGGTAGATATCAGGAGCGGGAGATGCCGGCATAGGCTGTGAAATAAATGAAGAGAAAGGTGAGCATGTGCAAACTCTGCCATTAAAAATTTTGGACAATATGGGTATACAAATTGTACGTTAGTGAATCCGGATGCTCTGAATAATGCATGAAGGCATTTAAAGCATCACACACATAATCAGCTTTTGAAATAATATAAAACAGAGCTATTTAGCTTGGTTGTTCGTATTTTCGTTTGCTTAGTGGGTCCTACTAAGAAGTTAACCATTCTGAAACATAAAGGTCTCATGGGATTGGTGGTGGTTATCCTACGAGCGACGGCGTAGGCACTCTGTTACGTGAATTTTTCTCCAGAGCTTCTTTCAGAAGAAGAAGCCAATATCTGGAGCAGTGCGCAACTAAATCACAAGCGACGTGCATTGATCCAAATGGAGTGCTTCGTGCAAGCAATTGATACCATCGTACACCCGAAAAAACAAGACTGAAAAGCAAACATGCAGAGGCCTGTTGGGACCCATCAGCTGACTTAAGTACGACATTGGCAACAGTGCGCACCAGCATCAATTATTTTACACCAAGGTAATAACACCGTCCGTTTAATCCTCCAAATGCCAGTGGGACATCACTT